TTATCTCATTAACTTTAACACTGCTTCAGTGTTACTTTAACACTCTTTTAGAGTGGGACCATATATGGTCCGAACAGTGTTAATTTAACACTCGGGATTTTACTGTGTAGTTATTAAGATTGATGTAGTTTGGAATTGGTACAATGTGCTTGGAAAAAAATATGATCAGAATATCAACTTGCATAATAATTATGCATGCACTGTATTTTTCCTCTTCTGCTGTCGAGGTAATGCAAGGAATGTTGTGATTGGTTGTCAAGGCAGCCAATCAGAATTTAGCAGCCTCGTCTCTGATTGGCTGGAATTATGGCATATTGTAACGCTGGGTTGTGTTGAGCAAGCAAGCTGTTGGCATTTATAGAGCACTGAGGGCGGGCATCAGGTGAGCAAGCTAGTGAAACGTTGCACGCGCAAAAGAGTCTGCACACATCCAAAAACTTATTTTAAATGCAAAATAGATTTTTGTGCGCTCAAAATACTTTCTTCTTTGCGAGACAAACATTTTCTCCACAAAACTCAGTTCGCGCGCGTGCAAAACGCACTTTTGCGCGCTCAAAATATGATCTTTCGTGCACTCAAAATATGATCTTTCGTGCGCAGAATTGTGGCAGAGATGTAATCCCATATTCTTAAAGCAGGACTTGTTCGTAAGCTCTCCATAATGTATAGCCACAAAACGTTTATTGGTTAAAGGGAAATAAATGACATTTCCATTGTATTTTATGTTATTATTTATGTATAGTATTTCATATAATTTTTTTACATATTAAAATATATTTAAATATTAAGTGTACAAGATATTGAGACCACAAATTAATGACTGAAATGGGGGAACTACTTAATAAAACATGCCCATGAAGTCTTGGGAAGGAATTCTTAAAGCTGCAGTTCGTAACTTTTGGCGCTATTGCGCTTAATAAACAGAAATGCGTGCGTCTTGCAGAAGAACACTGTGGCCGGAGCTACTTCTTTCTGTTTATGTTCATGAAGAATCACGCAGGTACTGGGCTTCTCCACAGCGGTACCTACCCGAACTAGTCTAAAATAGTCCAAATATAAACACTTATTATCGGTGTACCGTAGTGATTCAGGACAAGCCAAAAACACGGTTTGGAAAATGGATTCATGGTGTACTATTATATAAATTGTGTAAATTTTGAACACAAAAAAAGTTACGGACTGCAGATTTAACGTAACCATGCAGCATGCAGACTCACTAGGATGCAGCCTTTTGTTTGAGAAGCACCTATTGTCTTGTCTTATTTATGCTGCCTCGTCATTCTTCTGCATTTCTCTTTGACACGCTCCTAGATTAGCTTTTCTTTCTTTCTTTCTTTCTTTTTTTTTTTTTTATAAAATTCTGTACAGATTACTGTTGTGTTCATAAAAAAAAAACGGTTAGATCTGCTTCTTTCTTTGACATAATGTATAAGAAGCTGTCATCTTTTATCTTACAACTAGATACAGTTATGCATTTTTTGAGGGTGTGACATAGTTTCATTTAGAGCTTGCCTTTAAAAAACATTGGAATCAATAAGACATTTCTAATTCACACTTCCAAATGTAAATGGACATTGTGATGATGTCTTAATATTTATTTATTTATTTAGTCACTTATTAGACGCTTTTATCCAAAGCGACTTACAAATGAGGACAACAGAAGTAATCAATTGTAGTATTAAAACAACTAAAAACAGATCCAAAACTAAAAGCTAAAACTTTATAAATACTATACACATTGTAAAATAAAGAGATTAAATAAAAATGACAAATGCATACAACAAAATTTCAAAACTTAACATTTAAATGAAAAACAAAAAACAAAGCTAAAAACAATTCAAAATATTAAAGAACAAAAGGTATAAGGGTATAATAATGATTCTAACATAACACTAAGCCAAACACCAAAAAAACAACTACATATGTGTATGTACAACCACACACACATACATATGTACTGTATATGTACATACACATTTATAAATTCAATATATATATTATTTCATTTCCATTTAGTTTGTTGAAGTATTAAAATAACTCAAATTAAATAAAACTAAAAACTTAATAAAAGACCTATATAGACATAATAAATTCAGACATAATGTAACTAAAATTTAAATAAAAAACAAATACAAATAATACAAATCAAATGACAGTAGTTTATCAGTAATCCTAAAAAATAACACTGCCAAACACACATGCTAAAAAAGAACAACTTACTTACACATAGTAAGAAATGGTTATAAAAAACTGAAACAGAAGCGAAACAAGTAATATCAATATATTTCGTTTCCATTTGGTTTGAAGTATTAAAATAACTCAAATTAAATAAAACTTAATAAAAGACCTATACAGACATAATAAATTCAGACATCATTTAACTAAAATTAAAATAAATAACAAATACAAATAATACAAATCAAATGACAGTAGTTTATCAGTAATCCTACAAAATAACACTGCCAAACTTACATGCTAAAAAACAACAACTTACTTACACATAGTAAGAAATGGTTATAAAAACTGAAACAGAAGCGAAACAAGTAATAGGAATATAATATACATATTTATATAATTAATTAATTTAATATACATTCTAGAGGGCCTTTATGATTGCATCTCTCAAGTCCGGATTAATATCTCAACGTCTTTTTGCGTGGGTGTGTGTGTGTGTCTGTAAGGACATCTCCCACCTTGCTCAAACTGTGTACAGCAGTGTATAGATTAAAGGGGTCATGTGATGTTGCTAAAAAGAACATTATTTGGTGTAATGAAATGTGTTTATGCGGTTTAAGGTCAGTGGCAAATTCTTTAAATATAAAAAGTCTGCATTGTAGACTACGGCATTAGTCTACTTTACCAGGATCAAGAAACAGTCCTCCATAAAATGTACTGGACACATCTGAATATTTGGGTTAACTGTATGTTGTAAATACAACTTAACAACTGATTTCTAGTCGTGTCCTCTTTTGGAATGCCAAACAAAGTAGTTTCGCTTTCACAACGAAACACACAACGGGCTAGAGTGAGCGGAGGCCGGAGGCCTAGAGTGAGGGGAGGCGGGCGGCGTGATTGAGAACGGCGCGGCCGGCGGATTTGACGAAGGAGCGTCCGGCGTGTGGGGGCATGTTAGAACTAGCCATTTAGGTAGGCGTGGTTGACTCAACTTTTATAAAGAATATCTCTTTGGATTTGAGACTTTAGTCTTTGCAACTTTACAGATCTTCTTTGTGCACCAAGAGCTTGTAACACTCCACAGAGAAAGGAAAAATTTAAATCGCATCATATGACCCCTTTAACGTAATTCCTATCAGTAAGTCTGTGTAGTGTGACGGGGGTTAATCATCGAGCCTCACAGTACCTATCCCTCTCTCTCTCTGGCCCCGCTAAAACTGATGAGGGAAAAATTGGAAAGGATTAGAATAATGTGATAGAAAAGCCCCTTAGCCAAGGACTTGTGCATCTATCCGGAGACAGCAGCTGGCGTGAGAAGGGAATTTGTGTCAAGACCCCAACTCATGGTAATCTGGAGAAAAGGTGCACTATCTTTATGTGGCACTGGGGACCTGGCCGCAGCCCACTAGTTTTAACAAGGGTTCAACTGAGCTCAGTCCATTTTTAGTTCTATGATAATTTTAGGAGGGTTTTTTTATCACTAAGAAGCTTTGATTGTTACTGACCTCATTTTTGGATTAAAGGCAGTTTCTGTATTCTAATATAAATTAGAATGTTTTAATATATTTTAATGGCATTAAATTACAGAAAACTATTTAATGCTGCTACAACGTCGGGAGTGACGGCAAATTTTACATCTTTCTCTCTTCTGTACAATGTAATCAATCTCGCTCTCTCTCTCTCTCTCTCTGTCGAATGGGAATTAAATACTTTATAAAAAGCTCCATCATACTTGCAAAAATCAGTGGTGGACAGTGTTTTTCTTTACTTTTATTTCATTAGGCATTAGTACTAAATGCATGCATAATAGATGCATAATATCACACTTTTTACGCATTTAATTAAAAAAACATATCGTTCCACTTTATTTTGAGCTAATAAAATCACCACCTCCTCTGAGACTCTCTCCAATTTGTGAAAGAACTGATTCTTTTTAATTAACCTGTTGAAACAGTTCACAAATCACACTGAACAATCCATTTGCAAATTGAACTGATCTGATTGCAGCTGTTCTTGATTTAACAACACCGATACAGTGATTCATTCAAAGTGACTCAAAAAGAGTCAGCGACGCACAACATGATAACAAAGCAGGTGATTACGGACTTACATGTACCATAAGACTAGCTTTGCTGTATCAACAGGATTCAAGAAGGGAGTGATGAGGGAGGCCATGCCTAAGCTTTCAGAACCAAAGTTAGGCCCCAAGTGGGGATAGTAGATGTGTGAGGAGGGTTTAGCCATCTCGTACCACATAGAAATCTGATTACCAGACCATTCCTGCCCACTGACGGCCTGTGAACCTCGCTGTGGAAGGTCGATATAGTGGCAATGCACACTTTGAGTGTAGAAGGCACAGCTGCCATCTAAGCACTCCTGTAAGAAGGACAAGATAACTGGAATTGTGCAAACAACTGGGTCCTTCTCCCTTGAGGAGCACCAGCTCTCAAAGACTTTCCATTTATAAGCATAGAGGTGTGCGCTAGAGGGAGTTCTCACTTCAGCAATCGTTGTTAACACTTGTGGGCTGCAGACAGCTCTTTGGAAGTTGATTGTGAGCTCCAGCACTGAAGGTGGTTGATGAGCATATCCCTTTATATGGCATTTTTGTAAGTCTGATCACTTAGAAAAATAATAGCACAGGCCAGATTTGATATATCATTCATGTCTATAGTACAAACTGTGATTTCAGTTACACAAAAAAATGTAATACTTAGGGTTGGGAATCTTATTCTTATAAAACACAACTAAAACATTCTGCGTGTGTTTAATCTATTATACATGAGTAACGTTATTCATGTCTTGTTCTCTCTCTGTTTTTGCAGGTCTGCTCATCGGTTCAGGATGTGCTCTGTATCCTCTAGGTTGGGACAGTGAGGAGGTCCGGCAGACATGCAACAACAGCTCAGATCAGTTTGAACTTGGTACGTCCTCATATCACCTACATTCTGAAGTTCACATACATCTTCAAACATCTGCATTAATTACACAGTGACAGCATTAAACAATAAATGCATCATGTCCAACAGTTGATCTTGCTTAAATAGATCCCTATAAAAATAATGAAATAAATAAATAAAATTAATAAATAAAAATAAAAAGTACACTTTAGCATACTTTTACAAAGTGAACACTTTGAAAGAATATACTTAAGTGCAAACTGAATGTAATGTTTTCAGACAATGAAAATGTTTTTTTTATTTTTTATTATTAGTTTAAATTATTTTGTATGTAATTCAGTAGGACGTAACATCTTTTTATGTAATTTCATAAGTATTTGTCTTTGGTTAAATGTAAAATGTAAAATGTTAAAATGTAATTCTGAATGTATACTGACAATCATTTATGATAAACTAAAATGTACTGTAATGCATTTTACTTTTATGCCATGTTTTTAATGTTATTTGTTAGGGATGCACCGATACCGATACTGGTATCGGTATCGGGCCCGATACTGGTCTCCTGTACTCGTACTCGTACTCGTTAAAATGCCCCGATACCAAATGGCATGTGATAAGCGCCATATTCAAACAAAGAAACACCGACAACAGAACAACAGACAGCAGAAAGGAGTTAAGGATGTCTACTACGAAGTATATGTATGCAATGAATATAATGTTAAACATTCAGTATTAACGCCTGTAAAGCTGATGTGAGCGAGCTGATAAACAAAGCACGCTGAGTGGATTGAGCGCGCGGTGGCGCAGATGCGCGAGCTTGTCGAGTGAATATACCTTTCTCACAGACATCACTGGAAAGTTTGTAGTTCGGTCGGATATGTCAAAAACAAGTAAGTAAAACAATGCTCGAGTTACTTAACAGTAGGGAGAGAGAGAGAGCGAGAGAGAGAGAGAGAGAGAGCGCGCAATTCTGTTGTGTGATCTTTGATGTTCACTCACTTAGCACACGCATCATTTGGATTAAAACTGAATCATAAAAATAAGACCATTTATAGGGGCATTCACTATAAACATCATGTATTTTCAACCTTAGGCATACACGACTTTCAGGCGAAAGTGAAACTAACAGCCTGTGTGAAATGCGCTAGGCTGTACTATTCTGCATC